CACACACACACACACACACTTACACACACACTCTCTCTCACACACACACACACACACTCTCTCTCACACACACACACACACACATACAGACACACACAGATACAGATACACAGACACAGACACACACACAGACAGACACAGACACAGATAGACACAGACACAGACACACACACACACACACACACACAGACATACAGACACAGACACACACACAGACACAGACACAGATACACACACAGACACACACACATACAGACATACAGACACACGGACACACACACAGATACAGACACACACAGACACACACACACAAAATACAAACGCGCACACACATGCACACGCACAAACACAAACATACACACACTCAGCAGGAACCTCAGACCCCCGGTGTTGTGTGAGCATTTATGAATTTTATTCCATTCTGCCCAACATCACATGATCAATTCAGATCTTGCGCTTCCCAAATTCCAACTTGGTCATCCCTACCTGACAACATGCTGTTCCTTGAAGCATCCAGAAATAATCTGAACATTGTCCAAAACCTTCCCTTCCCATTCTGACCCTGGGATTCCCCCTCTGGCATTCTGACCCTGGGATTCCCCCTCTGGCATTCTGAAAGTGCTGTATAATCTCTGACAAATCTCTGTACACCTCTGCAACACGTTCAACTTCTGTCAGGTGTTTAAGTTTGATCCAAGATATTGACTTTTCACAAAATACATTATTGTTCTTAGCTTAGTAATTACAGAGATCTGCTGTCATGGTATGTCACACTTTGTCTATCCTGTCCCATCCACTGTAAGTTGACCATTCAGCCCATTGAGTCTGCTCTGCTATTCAATAAGACCATGGCTGATCTGATCATCTTCCACTGCACTCCTCTCCTGCTGCCCTCCACATTCCCTCTAGAAGTGGCCTCTGCAGTTTTCCACCTGTGAGCAAGGGGCTGCAATCCTGACATTTCTTTTCCTGGTGTCACTTCTGAAACATTCTCATTGGTCTTGCAATTTCAAACACCTCTTCATTTGACATCTATACATTAAACTTGAAGCACATCTTAATATCCACGTGCCCAATGTCCCTATTTTCTGAAACAGACCTTTTACCTATTGATTTTCCTTTTCTTTTAAATAGTGTCCAGTTTTCTGAGGCATACAGGAAAGTGGATGGGATGTAGCATGCATGTGGTGCATATGTATGTAACATATGTGTATATGTATTATATGTGTGTAGTGCGTGTGTAGCGCATGTGTGTGTAACATGTGTATGTATGGCACGTGTGTATGGCACATGTATGTGCAGTGTGTGTGTGTGTAGTGTGCGTGTGTGTAGTGTGCGCATGTGTGTAGCGTGCACGTGTGTGTAGCGTGATATGCCCTGGTGGCAGATCTCCCGGATGGCGAGTAACAAAGCAGCAGCAACACAAAGACTGGATGGTATACCATTCCTCAACAGGCCTCTCTTCATTGTCACATTAAACAACAGTAATACACAGTCTCTCTGCTCACCGCTCTACACCACACTTCCCAAAGGATCCTTCTGCCCACTGCCCACACCCCATCCTCCAATATCTTTGCTTAGACAACCCCACCCTGCATCTCCAGCCCAGGATGTGTGGCAGACACAGGCCTGAGAACCCGGAGATCGGAATGCTGCGTTCCCAGTCTCACCAGCCTCTCGTTGACAGTCTGTAGGTCAGCGGTGATCTCTCCAAGTAGCAGCTTCAGCTTCCTCCCAATCACATGGACCTTTTCGTTGGCCTCATCACAGGCAGCTCCCTCCCCGCTCTCCAGCAGCTGCTCGGAGATTTCCTGCAGGGCGTTCACTTGTGGCCGTTTCTCCAACATCTCTGCCTCCAGATCCTGTAACCAATCATTCCCTTCTTCCCATGAGGGTTTAGAAACAACTAGGGGCATGACCCCCACTGGTACAATATGTCAGGGACAGCAGGGAAAGACTGCATTGGGACTGAAATAGGGCTACAGGGAGAGAGCAGGGCAGTGGGATTAGTTCAGGGATGGATACAGGGCTATGGGGAGAGCGCGGGGCAGTGGGATTAGTTCGGGGATGGATACAGGGCTATGGGGAGCGAGCGGGGCAGTGGGATTA